GGGAGACTAGGAGTTTGGACCATGAATCACCTGAAAACAGCAAAGGATACAAGACTTTCTTACTGGGGGCTAGCGGGGACTAAGTGAATATAACATAATATAGTAGTAACAATATATATATATATGGAAGATACTTCCTTATGCACAGCAAGCAGAGTATTTGAAGATTTTCTGGACACTAGCTTATGATCAGCAGAGGCGGACTGACAAGGCTGAGGGGCTGGAATTTTCCTTGAGCAGCACCACCGCACAACCTTGCGCTTGAGTCTCATGTTGGAAGATGGGTGACGATGAGGCGTTGGGAGCAGCTGAAGCGGGCCTCGATGTTTAGGCCCGGAGTTGCGATGAACTGAGCCCCAGAACGCACTGCCTGGGCAGGGCTGAGCACCCCAGGACCAATCACCTCTGGTCCACAGAGCCACATGCAAAACCCTGCAAAAGAATCTGGAAGGGATTTCTCTGTGCATTTTTCAAGCGATGCTTCGACGGAGATGCTCATCACATTGGAATGATCTTCTGCGACAAGCAGGCTTCAGCTTTCGCTGGCAGTTCCTGAAGTTGCACACCACACTGGCAAACGCTACCAAGCTTCTTATATAGATCACAGGAAGTAAGCCTGCTAAGCAAAACCAAGCTGCATGCTTTTCCACAAAGTCATCAGCTGTGCGTCCAATGAGGCCCGGCTCTACGCAAATAAACTCCTGATGTGCAAACGACAGACTCCCAGAGGACAAAAGGCAACGATGCTGGACCGATGTGGCCTTGAAGGCGGGCGGTGGCAAGTCGCCCGGTGATGCCTGTTCGTAAGGGTTCCACCTTAAACTGGCTCCAAGTCTGTGGATGACGAGGCTTTGTCATAGGACTCAAGTTGAGACAAGCAGCACGACGATCTCTATGGGCATGGGGGCGCCGGCAATTGTGCCTGTACATCAGGATTTTATGCGCCAAGCACCCGAAATCCAAGCTTTAACTCAGCTTCAAACCTTGATTGCACACTGCATACATTGCCTCAGCTGGATGACTGTGATGCTGAAAGCAGTCGTGAACTAGCCACGCTGAGCCAACTACACCACCGCCTCTCTGGCCAATCGTCACATCCTTGAAAGGCTGTTACCACATTATACAAGGATTCTACTCGGAGGAATAGGCTGAGCGGAAAATGAAGTGGAGACTACAGTGCAAAGCATTGTCGGCCTTGGCACCATCTCCGCTGCCAACGTCCTGTGGGACAAGCACACACCGCAGAATTGCAGCACGAGAAGCACTGAGAAAAGGAGAGGAAGAGTACCCAATATACACCAATATTATACCCTACAATCCCTA